GGAGAGAGAGAAATTTTTGCATGTGTAAGTTTTTAAGTTTCATTCGCTTTGGGGTCATGCTGGGATTATTGTTGTTATGCTTACCGGTTAGACTTTTGTAGCTCTGTTGGTTGTATCGCCCTAATGTTCTTGATTCTCTCTAATTTTTCATCCGCTGTTAAAGGGATTGTTGTTCTCATTACTAGATCATTACGGGTTGTGGTTCCTTTTCGGTTTGTTGTTTTAATTTTAGATTACTTTAGAATGCTAAGGGACAAATGAGTGAGCATCGCTCTGCAGGAACCCCATTATGGAGGGCGGTGGGGTCCCATTGGGGGTTGACGCAGATTGGTGGAGTAGACTGCCCTAAATTGCGAGGAGGTGGGTGGGTTTGCGGGGTCTTCGACCCCTGCCGCGCGGGAGGTAGGGCATTTCTGCTCATTATTGAAGATGCGATAGGCTTTTGTCTTCTTATCAGCGGTCTCAGGTTCTGCTATCATCCGAAGTTTTGATGTAGATTGGTGAGCATCACTCTGCAAGGGCTGCTTCATGGAGGGCGGAGAGGCTCTCATTAGGGAGAGATGCAGATTGGGGGAGTGGAATACCCTAAATCGTGAGGAGGTGGGTGGGTTTCGCGGGGCCTCGGCCCCTGAGGCGCGGGTGGTAGGGTATTTCTACTGGTTTGCAACAGCAGCATCTTGGTGGGAGTTGCTGTTTTTGGTGTGCGGTGAGTGAAGGTTCCTTTTGGTGGTGCAATCCGCTCTGAATCGCGAGGAGGTGGGTGTGTTTTGCGGGGTCTGTATCTGCAGTTGGGGGACTGTAGATACAGTCCCCTGCCTGTAGATACAGTCCCCTGCCGGGTTTGGCTATAGTTGCGGATGAATGAGGGCTTTTGTTGGTTCTCTTCTTCTTTGTTAGGGTTCCTTTTAGAGTAGCCACTGTCTAGTCTTTGGTTGGAATTTCTTGTTGTTTTGTCTTGGCGGTCTGGGCGTGAGCCCGGCCGGAGTTGCCGGGACCTCGCATTGTGACCGCTATTTTTGTAAGGGACGTTGGGCCCATTTCCCGGCTTTGTTTAAAAAAAAAAAAAAGTGTAAACAAACAAAATAAATAAATAAATAAATAAATAAATAAATAAATAAATAAACAGTATGCCCGTCCAAAAAAAAAAAAAAAAAAAAAAAAAAAAAAAAAAAAAA